CAGGGCCTAAGCCGCTTCAGATATGGGCAAGAAGGAAACCAGGAGACTTCCATTCTCCTAACTGGAGGCTTGAGTTTGTTTTGATTTTTTTCTATTTTTTTTTTTTAAAACATTTTCCATGTTTCCAAGTGTTTAAAAAACAGATCACCCACGGAATACTACTTAACAATAAAAAAGAATCAACTATGGATACACAGGACACCTTGGATGGATCTCATGGGCATTATGCTGAGTGAAAAACATCAGTCTCAAAAGGTTTCACACAGAATGAGTCCATGTATATGACATTCTAGGAATGACAGCATTGTAGAAATGGGGAGCAGATTAGTAGTTGCCAGGGATTAGGGATGGTGGGAGAGAAGGCGGTGGCTGTGATTAAAAAGGGTAACATGAAGAAAACCTTTGTGGTGATGGAAAAGTTCTATATCTTGATTGCAGTGTGGCTACGTGAATCTATTCATGGGATAAAATGACAGTGAACTATACACACGCAAGGTACCAATGTCAGTTTCCTGATTTTGATATGGTACCACTGGGGACAACTGAGTGAAGGTCATGGGAGCTCTCTGTATACCATTTTTGCAACCTCTTATGAACCTATAATTATTTTAAACTAAAAGTCACCCCCCCAAAAATGACAAAAAATAGATCATGTACTATTCTTAAAGTCAAAAAGTTATCCTAAAATGTTAAGTAACACACAGATGAAAGCTAAAATAGTTATGACAAGATATCGTAATTGAAGGGTGATAATCCATATAGAAAGTCTTAAGCAAAAATCCACCCGGTTCAGAAGGCGGAAGAGAAACCAATGGGAGGATGTGGAGAGTGTGGTGGAGAGGGAAGTGCACTCTGCCTCTTCTTGGCTGTGTGACTTCGGTGGGTCACCTCACCTCTCTGGGCCCAGATTCCTCATCTGTACAATGAGTTGCTGTGCAGATGAAAGGAGACAGCACTTGTGAAGCAGACAACATTCAATAGATGTGAAGTCCCTTCCTTCCTCAAGCCAGCCAAGGGCCTTGACAAGTGCACTGGCCTGGGAGGCCCCTGCCTTCACCTGCTGGGACGAGGAAGGGAGGCTGGTACTGAAAGGCCCTTAGAATCCCATATATGCCACCAAGCATGCTATAAAAGTTTTTCAGCCCTACAACAGTTGGGAAAAAATACCCATTTTTCCCTGAGAAGGTTTTTCTAGAATTATATTTATCTTTAAGAATAATTTTTAAGGCCATCACAAATGTGGTGGCAGTGAGAGAAAAATCGTATGGCTTCAAAACAGAAACAGACAAAAACAGTAATTCCATTAGTATTTTTAAATGGTAAAAGATGAAGATAAATCTTTCTGCTATGGTAACTGTAAAACACAAGAGACAACTCAGGTTTTGAGGGGCAGTCATGTTGGCAGGTGGGGGTTACCTGTTCAGAACAGGCCATATAGGTGGGTGGACACACAGGGGTGACCTGAGGAGGTTCTGGGGAGCAGTGGAGAAGCCCGGCACTGCATGAACTCTGCAGGCTGAGAGCCACTAGGTTTGAGTGGCTGATTCACAGATGAGACCCAAAAAAAGAATGATGTGCCTCAAGTCCTCAGGGCCTGCATGTGGCAGCTCAGGCCCTGCTTCTGGAAAGACATCAGCTTAGGGAGTGAGGCTGGCTTTCAGAGGAGCAATGTCTCCTCTTAGAACCGTGATAGCATTTCAATGACACTTTTCAGTGTACAAAATGCTTCTAGAGAGCTGTTTCCTTGGCTTCTCCCTCCTGCTTTAAGACTCCCTCCATCCAGGGCCCTGCCTGGTGCCCAGTGGAAGGTCAGCCATCGGCCGCTTCAGCTCCTCAGTGACAGCAGCCCACTCCTTGTTGGACAGCTCCTGTCGTCAGAAAGCTCTCCTCACCAGCCAGGTGTGATGTCTCTGACCCAGACAATCAACCCCACACACAGCCTGTCACTCCGCGATTTGAATTCCACGCCTGTACATTTTAAAGATGAAAACATCTTTATGAGTCCCTTGTTGAAATGCAAATATGGCCGTGAACACCTAAAGCCCCACGTCAGTGAAGACCTTTGAGGTGGAGTGTTGGCAGGAAGCCCTGTGATGGAGACTGGAGGCCAGGAGGTCCAAAGACACTTTTTACAGGGGCTCTTTGTATCCTCCAGGGCCTGAGTCACCTTGGGGAATAAAAGAGAAGGATCCAGAAAGGCAGATTCCTTTCTTTCTTATATCTGTAAGCCTGGATGCTGGGGGAAAAAAAATCCTATCTGCAGTCAGAGACTGTCTTCCCTGGGGAGATTCAAGGGTCCAGAAACTTCAGATCAAGATGGTGCTGTAAATTCATGCACCAAACTCACAGCAATTATATAAAAAGATAGATTCAAAACAGGAATAGCCATGCTCGAAATCAGAATCAACATTTTTGTGGATCAGAATTTCAACAGAAACACAAGGGGCTACATAATGTGGAAGCCAGGGGTCTGGCACCAGAAGCAGGGGAAGCAGCCAGGAGTTTGACTCCCTCACTGCATGAGGGGCTAAATGAGACCCTTGTGAGGCCAGGGCCAAACCTCATGATGCTGGTTCAGTGACTGGACATGTAAAATTCCCACCACCATTACAGGATGAAAGCCTTGAGTCAGCAGCCTAAAACTTGGCTCCAGACAGGGTCCCAGGAGTGTGGGGAGAAGCTATCAACCCACTAAGCAGAGTGAGTATGTACAGAAAAATAAGTCCCACTTAAGAAAAGCCTGCAAACTCAAATTCCAAAACACATGAGGAAGATGAATGCAGATGTAGACAGTCAACAAAACTAATAATTGGCACAATGAATCCACTACAGACAAAAGTAAAATAATAGAATTATCTGAAAATAATTTCAAAATAAATACATTTAGGCTCTTCAAATAAAGTCAGGAATAACACCCATACATACAAAAGAATAATAAATTATAAATTAAAAACAAGCAGAAACTAAATAAAGCCATTTAGAAACACTGGGAATGAGAAACATAGTTGTTGAACTATACTGGAGAGACAGAATAAATCTAGATTACACATGGTAGAAGATAGGATTAATTATTTGGAAGCAAATGAACTGGGCATTCCACCTACGTTGCAACAAGAGATACATGATAGGAAAGAGCATTGTAGAAGTTAGATGAGGGGGAATACAGCAGACAAATTGCAGACACTGTTAATGCCCAGCCCATATTCCCTTGGCTGACCCCAGCAGTCACCTGAAGATGGGCTCTATACACAATGACAGCTTCCTGCATCTCTGCCTAAGTGTTTCTGGCCACGGGAGGATGCTCAGCTTGCACAAGGCCAGGTGAACTCCTGCGGGAGTTAGTTCCAAGAAAGACCCTCAACCAGTAGGGGCATTAGTTCATGATAAATACTCCAGCTTCCTTTCCCATTGGTAGGACAACTATGTGTTCCTGTTTCACATAGTCTCCCACAGGCCCCACAGCGGGGCTGAGCCTCCATTGGCCACCAGCAGCAAACTGCTCATGTTCAAATCTTTCACTGGCTTTTCTCCTTTCGTTGCCTCGCATCCCCACTTCTTCACTGCACTTCCCAAATAAACTGCTAGCCTCCAAATCCTTCTCTTGGGCCCTGCTTTTGGGATACCCAAACTAAGAAAGCAAAATAACCATGGCTCAAGCAAAATACAAGTCCATTTCTCTCTCATGGAATGGTCCAGCACTAGGAAGTTTAAAGCTAAGAGGGCTATTTCAGCTGGGCGCATTGGCTCACGCCTGTAGTCCCAGCACTTTGGGAGGCGGAGATGGGCGGATCACGAGGTCAGGAGATCGAGACCATCGATCTCCTGATGGTCTAACACTGAAATTCCAGTTCTACTGAAAGAAAAATACAAAAAATTAGCTGGGCATGGTGGTGGGCCCCTGTAGTCTCAGCTACTCAGGAGGCTGAGGCGGGAGAATGGCGCGAACCTGGGAGGTGGAGCTTGCAGTGAGCCGAGATAGCGCCACTGCACTCCAGCCTGGGTGAGAGAGAGAGACTCCATCTCAAAAAAAAGAAAAAAGAAAAAAAGCTAAGAGGGCAGTCCATCAAAACTCGGGCTCCTTCTATCTGACTTCTACCCTATGGTCCAAGATGGCTGCACCAACTCCAGCCAGCTCAGCACCAACTCCAGCCAGCTCATGTATTTTTCAGATAGTAGGAAGAAGGCAGAAAGAATAGCATACTCCCCTGCTTAAAAGACATTACAGGGAAGTTCCACAAGACTCCTGGTTATACTCATTGTTCAGAACTCAGTTATATGCCCATATGTAGCTAAAGTGGAAGACTCAGAAATGTGTTTTGTTTTGTTTTTGTTTTTTGAGACAGAGTTTTACTCTTGTTGCCAAGGCAGGAGTGCAGTGACACGGTCTCAGCTCACTGCCACCTCGGCTTCCTGGGTTCAAGCGATTCTCCTGCCTCAGCCTCCCGAGTAGCTGGAATTACAGGCACCCACCAGCATGCCCAGCTAATTTTTGTATTTTTGGTAGAGACGGGGTTTCATCATGTTGGCCAGGCTGGTCTCAGACTCCTGACCTCAGATGATCTGCCCACCTCAGCCTCCAAAAGTGCTGGGATTACAGGCATGAGCCACCATGCCCAGCCAAGAAATGTCATTTTTAACCCAAGTGGGCATGTGCCTAGCTGAAAGTTAGAGATTCTATTACTAAGGAAAAAGTGGAATAGACACTGGGAGACAACTGGCATTCTATAGAATGCCAAGCAGTTACGAAACACGGAGTAGAGACTGACAGACTGTTATGTAGGAGTTCCAGAACAGAGGGAGTGCAGGAGAAGCAAGATTACAGAAATAAGGACTGAGAATTGTCCAGAACGAGAGAAAGACATTGCTTATATTCAAAATACGCACTCAGTGCTGAACAGAACAAATAAATTTACACCTAGACACAGCGTAGTGAGACGATAGCACATCAAGAATAAAGAGAAAACATCAAGACTATTGCAGTAAAAAAAGGCATTAGATGTAGAGGAAAACTAATTACTCATTTATCAACTAGCAAATATGTATTGAGTGCTTTCTTCGAGTCCGGTCTATTCTAGGGGTGGCCATCCAGTCCTGACCTAGACAAATAAGTTTAAATATCTATCATTTATTATCAGATAGGGATTGAGGCCCTTGGAGAAAAAATAAAGCAGAGCAAGGAATAAAAGTGATGGAGGATGGGAGTGGGTAGGATGTCTTAGGGAAAATGCTCAGGGGAGGCCTCTCTGTAACAGTTGAGCTGAGACCTGAATGACGTGGCACAGTAAGTTATGCACATTTCCGGAGAAGAGCATCCCAAACAGAGAACAGCAAGTACCAAGGCCCTGAGGTGTAAATGTGCTTGTTATGTTCGAGAAACAGCAAGAAGGCCAGTGATCCAGCAGAGTGAACAGGGGTGGCAGAATAAGCAGGTTGTCTGGAGAAGGCATCTGGGGCCAGATCTTATGTGTGGGGCGTTGGTGTCAACTCAGACTGGCTCTGTCTTGATTCTTTGCATCCCTTCTCAACTCTGCGCTCAGTGATATCAGCTTGGAAGCTTGAAATCGGCCATGGAAGGGAATATGCACCACAATTAACAAATGCTACAAATCAGGGCTCTCTGCCTCTGAGAACTGGTTGTTACCAGCACAGCACCGCTCGTAGTTGTGGTGAGAAATTCAGACGTTGTTCGAATTGGAATCAGAAGCATTGGAGAGTTTTGAACGGCAGAATACTGCAACTTGGTTTCCTTCTCACAAGATCACTGTAGAGAACGAAGCCTAGGGTGCAAGAATGGAAGCAGGGAAATGGTTAGGAGGTTGTTGGGGTGGACCAGTTGAAAAAGGAATGCGGACAGTCTAGGAAGGCCACGGGGAGGAGGTAGATTTAATCTGGTGTTATATTTTCTGGTATGATCTCCCTTACATCCTATTTAGCCTCTGTTGATAGACTGATTCCACTGGCTGGGAGGAACATATTTTCCTGGAAAGAGCATGGGATTTAGAATTAGTGGGCCTGGATCTACTTCTCAATAGCATCCCTTGAGGAAATTATTTAACGTCTTTTGAGTCACAGTGTCCTGTGCGTAAAACTGAATACCTGAAAAGGTGGCTGTGAAGACTAAATGAGATAAGGAGTGTAAAATTCCCATTTATCCTCTGCTGGGGCAAAGAGCCCTCATCCTCAGCCCCCCAGGGTCCCTCCTGTAAAGATCCATGCATAGAAGCAAAAAGAATGAAACTGCCAGGATCAGATTCCCAGGGGCTGGTTGCTGGTCTCTGCCTGTTCCCAGGTGGGCCACCAGCGCCACCTCGTGTCCGGTCTGAGTTATTGCAGGCCAGCCTTTCCCTGGATGATTTCTTGATCCTGAATCACCTCCGTTGCCAGATGCAGCCAACAGTGCATGAAGTGTCCTAACATTCATTGTCTGACCTGCCAACAAAGTGTGCTCTCTGCTCTCCCCCGATCCTCCCCTGCATGTCAGCCTCACCTCCACATCTAGATTGTAAAGGGCACAGGGCCTGTGTCTTCAGCATCCATTCCTTTTACTTGAGCAATTACTTTGTGCCACTCATTCTGACATAATCCTTAAGGCAATTATATCCTTATTCCTTTTCTGGGAAACTGAGGCCAAGACATAGAAAGTGACTTGCTTGAGATCACTGGGCAAACAATTGAGGTAAGATTTGATTCCAGGACTTCTCAATGCAAGCCCAAGGTTTTTTTCCACAAAAACATCCAGCACAATGTGGGTACCCAGAAGATACTCAGTGGATCATTTCATTTTTTAGGCTTTTTTTAAAGAAGTGAGGCAAAAATAACTGAACAGGAGCCAGGGGACCCACTCTCAGGACTCAGATTCAAGCTCTGTCTTTTACAACTTGCTGAATAACGTTGGTTGGATCTGGGTAACTCTGGGGCCTTCCATACTCCATGAGGAAAGAAAAGGGATTAGACTAGGTGGTCCCAAAGTTTCCCTCGGGTCCTGATGTTCAACAGTGGCAAAGTTGAGGAGAGGGCTCTAGACAGGGGTTAAGATTGTGGGCTCTGAGGTCACTGCTTGGGTGAGTCCAAGCTTCACAATAGCTATGAGGCCTTCAGCAAGTTATTTATCTCAGCCTCTGTTTCCTTGTCTGGAAAATGAGGATGATGAGAGTAATCATCTCTACCTCATAGTGTTGCTCAGTTATCTATCTATTAGACCCTCTTACAACTGTACTTGGTACACAGTAGGTAATACATTTATGTTCATTTTTCAAAAACATTGATTCTGGCTGGGCGTGGTGGCTCACTGAGGGATGATGACATTGAGGGCCATGTGCTTCACTCAGTCCACCAATCCAAATGCTAATCTCTGCTAGTCAGACATATCCAGAAATAATGTTTCATCAACTATCAGGACATCCTTTAGTCCAGTCAAGTTGATAAATAAAATTTACTATCACAAGATCTATGTGTAGATATAGACAGATAAAGCTGCCCACACATAGATACTATTATGGGATTATTCCCCGAGCAGTGGCATGGAGTTGTAAATAGAGCACAGAGATTCGGGTCAGGAGTTTTAAGTATTAGGGTGGGGAATTGTATGTATTGTGTAATAAATTGCCACAAACACAAAGTCTGGTAACAACACATGCTAGGTATCTAAAAGGTTCTATGGGTCAGGGATCTGAGCCCGGTTCAGCTAAGTCTTCTTCCCATGGTCTCACAAGACTACAATCAAGGTGTTTCCCAGGGCCAGAACTTTGTCTGAGGCTTGGCTAGGAAAGGATCTGCTTCCGTGCTCACTCAGGTTATTGGCAGAATTCAATTCCTTACAGTGGTAGGCTTAAGAACTTCAGTTTCTTGTTGGCTGCCAGTCAGGGTCCACCCTCAGCTCCTAGAGATGCCGCAGTTTCTTGCCGTGTGGCCTCCCAGCATCGGCAGCCTGCCACATGGCAGCTTGCTTCTTCAAAACCAATGGAGAGGCACAGAGAGACTCAGCAAGACAAGTGCCACACTTTCATGTAATATACCCATGTCATCGCTGACATGGCACCATCTATCCCACTCACCTCATCACCTTTGCTGCATTCTACCAGTGAGAAGCAAGTCACAGCACCACTGTAGCCACCTCCCCACCACTCAAATGGAAGGAATTACAGAAAACCATGACATCAGCAGGTGGGATGGTGAGCGACCTCCCCAAGAGCCTGTCTGCCACAGGAACTGAGAGGAACCTCGTGAAGGATTTTCCTTGTGAGGTTAGTAGACATAGACTTGTGGGATAATAGAGCTCTGAGGAATCATGTCTCACCATTTCACATTACCTAGAAGAAAACAGAAATCCAGACAGCAAAGTCAGACTAGCATCCAGACCTTCTGACTTCCAGTTTCCAACATACTCTACTGGTTCCATTTCTACTTATTGTCAGGACTTTGAAGCCACAAGCTGGAAAGTTAGATGGCACTTTGAAGTTGTAGCTCAGTGGATATTGGAATATCTTAGAATACTTTCAGAATGAATCCAAATCCTTAGCATGACATTCAAGGCCTTTTTTTTTTTTTTTTTTTTGGTCTCACCTCTTGCCATTCTCCCCTGGTATGATGGCGCCATGTCAGCGATGACACGGGTACATTACGTGAAAGTATAGCATCTGTCAACAGAGAACTATTTGGTGCTTCCTGGTGGTGCCTCCCTCCCTTTACATATTCTCCACCAGGAATGTCCCTCATTTTCTATGCCTAGAAAATAAACAAAGCGGGAAGTGGCCAAGATGGCCAACTAGAAGCAGCTAGCATGAGTGGCTCTCACAGAGAGGTACAGAGGGGTGAGTAAATACAACATTCAGGTACTTGCATTGGGATTAATCAAGGAAACAATTTGACGCACAGAGAATGAAGAAAAGCAAGACAGGACGATGGCCCACTTGGGAACAACACAGAGCCCGGGGATCCTCCCTCACCCAGGGAAGCTGTGAGTGAATGAGTGATCCTAGGAAACCATGCTTCTCCCATAGATATTTGCAAACCTCAGATCAGGAGATATCCTTATGAACCCACACGACTACAGCCTCCAGTCTTCTGTCTGACAGAGCTATGTGGAGTCTTGGTAGAGCAGCTGCTCAGGCATGCGTAGAAACCCTGGAGCCTTAGATACTTGGGCTTTCCAGCAAAAGTAGCTGCTGCTCTAGCAAAGTGGGAGGTTAGACTCCTGTACATACCCATAGGAAGGAGGCTGAATCCAGGGAGCTAAGCAGAAACAGCCCGCAGGCCCCACTTCCTTGGCACCTCACAAGATAAGACCCATTGGCTTGGAACTCCAGCAAGCTACCAATAGTGATTACATCTCCCTAAGAAGGAGTTCCCCATGGGAGGGGTGGGTCGCCATCTTTGCTGTTCAGGCATCTTAGCCGTTCCAGCCTTCAGGCTTTGGAGAGTCTAAGCCAACCTGGGGCAGAAGAGATCCCCCAGTACAGCACAGCAGCTCTACCAAAGTGTAGCCTGACTGTTGCTTTAAGCAGGTACCCCATCCGATTCCTCCTCAGTGGGTGGGAACTTCCAACTGGGACCTCCAGCCACCCCTACCTGAGCTTTCCAGCCACCAGAGATCTGAATTCCCCCGGGACCGTGCTCTTAAAGGGAGGGGTGGGCCACCATATTTAATGTTTGGATGACTTAGCTGTTCCAGCCTTTGGACTTCAGAGTGTCTGAAGCAACCAGGGGCTGAAATGGATGCCCTGCACAGCACAGATGCTACACCAAAACATGGCCAGACTGCTTTTTTTTTTTTAGTAGGTCCTGATCCCATTCCTCCTTGCTGGGAAGAACCTTCCAACTGGGGTCCCCAGTCACTTCCTACAGGTGCCTTTGGGCCCACAACAGGCTTGTACCTCTCTGGGACAAAGCTCCCAGAGGAAGAGACTGGCTGCCATCTTTACTATCTTATAGCCTTCACTGGTGACATCTCCTGGTTCTGGAAAATCCAAGGCAACTGGGACCACAAGTTGGTCACAAGCATACTGCAGCAGCCCTATGGAAAAGTAGCCAGAGTGTTAAGTGGGTGCCCATTCCCATATCTCCTCACCAGGCAGGTTCTTGAGGCCTGGGCCTCCAGCCACCCCCTGCCAGAGCTATCATACCAGTACCAACTCAGCAACTCTCTGCACAGAGCCTCCAGGGGCAACTGATAGCCTCTCAACCATGCCTCTGCAGTGGAAGTGCCCTTGCCACCCTCGGACTAATGAATGGGCAAAGACCCTAAGTGCCTTATCCATACCTCCAAGCTGTAGTTGACCCAACGAGATGAGGCCAGTCCATCTCCTATGGGTCCCACACACCCACCACAGCTCGTCACCAGACAGGGAACCACTGGCTTCAGCCCACAGCACAAACCCTACATCTTGGGCTGACTGCACTGAGTGATTACTGACCTGCATTTCCCTGGGATGGAGCCCCTAGGAGACAAGCAAATGATCCTTGGCCACAACTACTACTAAGATCTTTTCCTCTGCTGCCTCTAAGCTGGGGAAGAAACATTAACACTGAGATCTCCCCAGAGCTGCAGTGGGCAGCCCAGGAGTGTCAAGTCATGAACTACAGCCAGCACTCAAGAAGGAGAGGAACCCACACTTTCAGAGCACTGAGAGGAAACACAGCTGCAAATCTTAGGAAACATAGGGGAGCCACACAACTAAGCAAAAGTCTACCAACTGACCAAGAATCCCAAATGCCACCTGCTGGCTCACACCCCAAAGCTCCAACACCAAAAATACCTTACTAACGTATCCCCCTCTGAAACCAGAGACAAGAAGTCAACTTCAAATAAAGACCCTATGCAAAACCTTGACCCAGTAGAAAAATCCAGAAAAGAAGTCTCTTTTCTGTACTCAATCTACACTGCAGTTAAAGGAACACTCACAATGCAGAGATGAGAAAGAACCAATGCAAAAACTCCAGTAACTCAGATGGCCAGTGTCATATGTCCTCTATAGGACTGCACCAGTTCTTCAATAAGAGTTTTTAACCTGGCCAAACTGGCTGGAATGACAGAAATTGCATTCTGAATATGGATAGGAACAAAAATAGGAACAAGGATGGCAAAACCCAATTCAAGGAAAATAAGAATTACAATAAAGTGATACAGGAGCTGAAGAACAGAATAGCTAGTACAAAAAAAGAACCTACTGAATCTGACAGAATTGAATAACACAATACAAGAATTTCACAACGCAATCACAAATGTTAACAGCAGAATAAACCAAGCTAAAGAAAGAATCTCAAAACTTGAAGACTGGTTCTCTGAAATCAGACAGAAAAAAATTAAGAAAAAAGAATAAAAAGGATTGAACAAAACCTCTGAGACGTATGGGATTATATAAAGAGGCCAGATCTATGAATCACTGGCATTCCTGAAAGGGAGTGGGAGAAAGACAATCAACTTGGAAAATATATTTCAGGATATCATCCATGAAAATTTCCCCAACTTTGTTCCTGAAAGATTCTCTATACAAGATCATCCCAAAGACACATTATCATCAGATTTTCCAAGGTCAGAATGAAAGAATGAATGTTAAAGGCAGCTAGAGAGAAAGGGCAGGTCACCTACAAAGGGATCCCCATCAGGCTAACAGCAGACCTCTCAGCTGGAACCATACAAGCCAAAGGAGATTGGGGGCCTATATTCAACATTCTTAAAGAAAAAAACTTCAGGCCGGGCGCGGTGGCTCAACCCTGTAATCCCAGCACTTTGGGAGGCCGAGACGGGCGGATCACGAGGTCAGGAGATCGAGACCATTCTGGCTAACACGGTGAAACCCCGTCTCTACTAAAAAATACAAAAAAAAAAAAAACTAGCCGGGCGAGGTGGCGGGCGCCTGTAGTCCCAGCTACTCGGGAGGCTGAGGCAAGAGAATGGCGTAAACCCGGGAGGTGGAGCTTGCAGTGAGCTGAGATCCGGCCACTGCACTCCAGCCTGGGCGACAGAGCGAGACTCCGTCTCAAAAAAAAAAAAAAAACAAAAAACTTCAACCAATCATTTCATATCCAGCCAAACTAAGCTTCCTCAGTGAAGGAGAAATAATATCCTTTTCCGATAAGCAAATGTTGAGGGACTTCATTACCACCAGACCTGCCTTATAAGAGATCTTGAAAGGAGAACTAAATATAGAAAGGAAAGACCACTACCAGCTAATACAAAAACACACTTAAACACACAGACCAGTGTCACTCTAAAGCAATCACACAAATAAGCCAACATAATAACCAGCTAACAGCACAATGACAGGATTAAATCCATACATATAAATATGAACCTTGAATGTAAACAGACTAAATGCCCCATTTAAAAGGCACAGAGTGGCAAGCTGGATAAAATAAAGTAAGACCCAATGGTATGTTGTCTTCAAGAGACCCATCTCACATGTAATGACACTCATGGCTCAAAATATTAATAAAGGGATGAAGAAAAATCTTCCAAGGAAACAGAAAACATAAAAAAGCAGGGGTTACAATCCTGATTTCAGACAAAACAGACTTCAAACCAACAAAGATCAAAAAAGACAAGCAAGTGCATTATGTAATGGTGAAGGGTTCAATTCAAGAAGACCTAATTATCCTAAATATATATGCCCCCAATGCAGGAGCACCCAGATTCATAAAGCAAGTTCTCAGAGACCTACAAAGAGACATAGACTCCCACACAATAATAGTGGGGGACTTCAACATTCCACTCACAGTATTAGATCATTGAGGCAGAAAATTAACAAAGATATTCAGGACCTAAACTCAGCATTGGACCAAATGGATCCAACAGACTTTTACAGAAGTCTCCATCCAAAAAGAACACAATATACATTCTTCTCATTGTCACATGGCACATACTCCAAAAATGACCACATAATTGGACATTAAACAATCCTCAACAAATGTAAAAACACTGAAATCATACCAAACACACTCTCAGACCACAGTGCAATAAAAGTAGAAGTCAACACAATGAAAATCACTCAATTACATGGAAATTATCATACAATTACCAGAAATTAAACAATGTATCCTGAATGACTTTTGGGCAAATAATGAAATTAAGGCAGAAATAAAGACATTCTTTGAAAATAATGAGAACAAACATGTAACATACCAGATTCTCTGGGACACAGCTAAGACAGTGTTAAGAGAGAAATTTATAGCACTAAGTGCCCACATCAAAAAGGCAGGAAGATCTCAAGTTAACAACCTAACTTCACAACTGAAGAAATTCAAGAGGCAAGAACAAATCAACCCCAAAGCTAGCAGAATATGAGAAATAACAAAAATCAGAGCTGAACTG